TGGCCGCTCCCGGCCACCGCAGCCTCGACCTGCTGGGCTCCGGCGATCCTTCCGAGTAGCTGGAATTACAGGCGCGCGCTACCACGCCCGGCTAATTTTTTGATTTAGTGTAGAGATGAGGTCTCGCCAAGTTGGCCAGGCGGGTCTTGAACCTGTGGGCTCAGGCAATCCACTCACCTCGGCCTCCCAAAGCGCGGGATTACAGGCTGAGCCACCGAGCCCGGCCATATATCCAACTCTTGAACTTGAGCTCTTAGCCACAGGAATAAACTGCCTCTTCGTCCACTGGTTGGGTTTATGACAAGCATGCTTGTGGAATTGCTGGCTGACTCTAAGCAGCCCAGACACATCCCACAGCCTCCAGGTATCTCCTGCTTGTATTCAGGTGTGCAGCCTCTGGGCACTATAAAATATGACAACAAGCTTCACTGGTCCATTGACCGGGAAAGACATATATATTGACTAAAACAAAAAAAGTTTGGCAAAATACTTTTCTAGCTTTGGGGCCACAGAGAAGGCCCTTAAAGTTCCAGGAATGGTGGCTCATGCCTGTAATCCTTTAGGATGCCAAGGTGGGAGAATCATTTGAGGCCAGGAGTTTGGTGTCAGCCTGGGCAACATAGTGAGACCCTGTCTCTAAAAAAATATTTAAAAAAATTAAAAAGTAGCTAGGCATGGTGGCCTGCACCTGTAGTCCTAGCTCTTCAAAAGACTAAGGCAGGAGGATCATTAATACCTAAGAATTCAAGGCAGCAGTGAGCTATGATTGCACCACTATACTCCAGCCTGGGTGACTGAGCAAGACCCTATCTCTAAAAAAATAAAATCAAGTGCCAAGCTTCTATCTCAAACATGAGAATGATGTAGCCCACCTCACAAACATTGCATGGAACAGTTAAGCAGAATATGTGAAGCCTGGATGTGGCTGTGCGTGTATGGCATTCAGAAATGTTGGATGAATGTAGTTTCCCCTGCTTCTACTCACTCCCAATGGGAAAAAAAAAACTTTACCCTAAACTCTAATCTTTCAGGGTCTGCTGCCTTGACAGAGAAAGCCTACAAAAGTCCCCTAGAATAGGAAATTCCAATTTGATTATTTTACCCAGAGCTAAAGTGAGTCTACAAGAACCAAGGAAAAGGCTTGAGAAAGGGAATTGTTATCCAGCACAGGAATAATGTGGGAAACTGCAGTCCTCTGTGAAAGGGATACGAAACAGACTCAGAAAGAGAATCCCCATCCATTTTAAGAAGGAAGCATAATGTAATTACTGAGACTGAATTTGGTGGTAGTACAAAACATTCATTTGCCATATTCTTTATTCACAAGTATTTAGTGATACACATCAGGCTAGTCTCACTATTTCCCTTAGATACATGGTTTGGGTATCCTCCTCCTGCTCCCCTTAAAGTGGGGCCAGGATGATGAATAGGCCAGACCCAGACATTAGCACGGTAGAACATATCAACAGTACCCACTATGAGGGAGCTTCAAATTGTACATTTCCCTGGAGCAAGTTTCTTCTCCCTATTGGCTTGTCCCCTGTCACCCTCACACCTCTGGCACAGTAGCACGGTGGATGGAACTCAGCAATTTGAGTTCACACAATACCAGGATATACCTCTGACAAACCCACTGCCTGCCATGAGTTAAATAACTGTTTTCTCCACATTTGAGGAAGAAATATAAATGTTCCCCATTCTCCTCTGGAAGTTAGTATAAAGTATTTAACATAATACTGAAGAAGCATCCTAAGCTTTTTGGTTAAGTATATAGACTCTAGCAGGTGTTTTGTTTGTTTTGTTTTATCTTCAGTCTGTTTTTTTTCTGTTGTCTTCTTTGACATTCAAAATTAACAACATCTAGCCTGGCATGGTGGCTCATGCCTATAATCCCAGCACTTTGGGAGGCTGAGGTGAGAGGAGTGTCTGAGCCCACAGGTTCAAGACTGGCCTGGGCAAGTTAGCGAGACCTCATCTCTACTGTAAATCAAAAAATTAGCCAGGCGTGATGGTGTGTGCCTAGTTCCAGCTACTTGGAAGGCTGAGGTGGAAGGGTCACCTGAGCCCAGCAGGTCAGGGCTGCAGTGGCTATGAGCATGACACTGCACTCCAACCTGGGGGACAGAGTGAGACGCCAACTCAAAAAAAATTTTTAAATAATAATAAAAATAAATAGATGCTTGGTCCTTAAAAAATAATAAATAAACCGGGCTCAGTGGCTCAGCCTGTAATCCTGCGCCTTTGGGAGGCTGAGGTGAGTGGATTGCCTGAGCCCGCGGGTTCAAGACCCGCCTGGGCAGCGAGACCTCATCTCTACAATAAAAATCAAAAAGTCAGCCGGGTGTGGTAGCGCATGCCTGTAATTCCGGCTACTCGGAAGGCTGAGGCAGAAGGATTGCCAGAGCCCAGCAGGCAAGGCTGCGGTGGCCGG